GGACAGAAGAGGTTGTTAGATCCTCTGGAACTGGAGTTACAGACAGTTGTTAGCTGCCATGTGGGTGCTGGGATTTGAACCCAGGTCTTCTGCAAGAACATTCAGTGTTCTTAAGCACTGAGCCATCTCTCCAGCCCCTGAGGTATTTATTCTTAAAGACAGCCAGTCTTGGTGGCAAGACTATAATCTCAGCACTTGGGAGGCAAGGCTGAAGCAGGATGTCCAGCATTTGGATAGCTAAGACAGGAGGAGTTGCTTTGAGTTCAAGGCTATAGAGTGATTACCAGGCCAGCCGGGGCCACATAGCAAGATTCTGTCTCAACAAACATACATACACATACACATACACACACACACACACACACACACACACACACACGCACACACACACACACACGCACGCACGCGCGCAGAGAAAAAGATGCAGCAGGGCCAAGGAGATAATCAGTATCACAGAATAGCACATTGAACCCCACCCTCCACCTCCATGGCTGGACTGTCTCTGCACATAGTAGGTGTTCAAGATGACAAGGGGCTGGAGAGATGGCTCAGTGGTTAAGACCACTGGCTGCTGTCTTCCAGAGAACCCAAGTTTGGGGTGGCAGCTAATAACCATCTAAAACACCAGTTCCAGGAGATTCAATGACCTCATCTGGCATCCACAGGCATTGCATGCATGGGTGCACTTACATTCAAGCAAAATACATACACATAAAATAAAACAAAGGGATGACAAAAATCCATTATTATATACTAGTTATTCAAATGTCTGTTACACATTAGATGCTGAAAACATAAAGACTGACAGCCAGGCCTGGTACTCCCAGCTATTGGGGAGGCAGAGGCAGAGACAGGTGGATCCCAGGTTCAAAGACAGCATGAGGTACAGCGTGGGCTCAAGACAAGCCTGGGCAACTTAGGCCTCAAAATAAAAAGTTAAAAAAAAAGGTTAGGAGATATATAGCTCAGTGGTAGAGCATTTGTGTAACATTTGTGAGGCCCTGGGTTCAAGCCCCAGGATTAAAAACCAGACACTATCACCATAACAAAACAAATGGCAGAAACAGCTTGCTTAAGGGCCAGGAGAAACTGACTTGACTCATTGGTGCCCACTTGTGGTAAAGAAAACAGAATACCTACCCTCAATAGTAAGGCATCACCTAGTATTTGCTAACATCTGTAGAATATATTAGCTTTTTCCAATGAGAAAAGACATAAAAATCCAAACAGAGGAAGCAGATTTCATTTAGGATAGTTAATTACTTTTAAAAAAGTTCTTAGCCAAAACCCTTTTGGCCAGGAACTTGCTATGTAGAGCTAGCTGGCCTTGAACTCACAAAGATCCTCCTGACTCTGCCTCCTGAGTACTGGGACTAAAGGCATGCACTAGCATGCCAGCTGCTGGGGCTTGTTATTGTTTTGGGGGGGGTTTATTTTTTACTCCACATGTTAACATAAAACCAGTCAGTTGTGGTGGTACATGACTGTAATCCCAGTACTCAGGAGGTAGAGGTAGGAGGATCAGGAATTCAAGCCCAGCCTTGGCTACAAATTGAGTTCAAGGCTAACCTAGGATACATGAGACCCTACCTCAATATGTGTGTGTGTGTGTGTGTGTGTGTGTGTGTGTGACTTGGATAGTGCTATTAGGAGCTGCAGTCTTTCTTTAATAATAAAATAGCTAATATTTGCTACACTACATGTCAGCCTCTTTACATGCAGCATCTTATTTAATCCTCACAAAATTCATTACATGGTCATTTGTTTCATTAAGTAAGGATTAAAGAAGTTAGATAACAAATTGCCCAAAGTGACTCAATTAGTAAATGACAGAATCTGGAGTTAACCCCAACCATCCCACTTCATTGTTTATGTTTTGGTTTGGGGTCTTGCTGTATAGCACAGATTAGCCTTGGCCTTGAACTCAAGATCCTGCCTCAGCCTCCGCTGGGATTACAGGCACCATTGCACCCAGTTTCAACCACCCTACTTCAGAATGAGCGCTATTAACTCTCATGCTGTAATGTTCCCAGTCTAATATGCCTAGAGCAATCTGTGTACATCACAGCACCACCTACATTGTACTGTAGTTGTTTACTTCTTCTCAGCCATCAAGATGCTCTTGAGAAAGAGCCATCTATTCTTTCTTTTAACAAATAAATACTGAGCGTTGCTTCTTAGGTGGCTGGCCCTGTGCTAAATGCCAGAAATATAGCAATGCACAAGACAGAAATACTTTCCTGGGCATGATGGCACATACCTTATAATCCCAGCACTTGGGAGGTGGAGGCAGGAGGATAAGGAGCTAAGGAGCTGAAGGCCAGCCTTAGCTACATATTGAATTTGAAATCATCCTGGGTTACATGAGGGGGAAAAAAAAAAAAAAAAGCAAGGGCCAGCAAGATGGCTTAAAGTCGCTTGCTTAGCTCCAAGGCTGAGCTTGGTCCCAGGAATCCACATGATGGAAGGAGAGAACTAACTCCCACATTGTCCTTTGACCTCAATACCAGGATCATGACACAAAATAAATAAATGTAAAAATGATACATAAATAGCAGGTCACCACCAGAATGAAGCTTGTATTCTAATGACTGAAATAGAAGTAGATAAAAACAACTAGTTAGAAAATCCTGAAGTGTTGCACACACCTATAGTCCCAGCACTTGTGAGACAGAGACAGGAAGTTTAGGACTTTTAGGTTATCCTCACCAATACAAGAAGCTTATCAAGTTTGAGACTATCCTGGGGCTACATGAGGCTGCCACCCCCCCAAAAAAACAGCAAACAAACCAATGGGGAAAAAAACCCAAGCAAAACAGACAAAAAACAAGTACTTTAATCTGGGGGTGTAGTTCAGTGGTAGAGTGCTTGTCTAGCATGCTGGAGGTCTAGGGTTTGATCCACAGCGTTATAAAAAAGACAAAAACAAAAAAATGTTAGGTATAGTGGTGAATACCTGTAGTTCCAGCTACTTGAGGCAGGAGGATTTCTTAGATCTCTGAGTCCAAGACCAGCTTAGCCAATGAAACAAGATCATATATATAAAATTGGGAGAGGGGAAGGAGAGCTGGAGAGATGGCTCAGCGGGTATGAGTACTGGCTGCTCTTGCACTGGACCTGGGTTCAGTTCCCAGCACCCACATGTTGTCTAACAACTGCCTGTAACTCCAGTTCCAGGGGACCTGGTGACCTCTTCTGACTGCTGCGGGTATTGCATGACACAGGTGTGCTTACATACATGCAGGCAATACACTCATATAAAATAAAAATAAAATTTTTTTTGGTCTTTTTGAAATAGGGTCTCTCTGTAGCCCCAGCTGGCCTGGAACTCACTATGTAGACCAGGCTGGCCTTGAACTCACAGAGATCTGCCTGCCTCTGCCTCCAGAGTGCTGGACTAAAGGCATGGGCCACCACGCTCAGCCTTTGTTATGTTGTTATATAGCCCAGGCCAGCTGGTCTCAAACTCCTAGGAATTCTCCTGCCTCAGCCTTCTGAGTGGTGGGTTTACTGCGGCACACACCTTTAATCACAGCACTTGGGAGGCAGAACCAAGCAGGTCTCTGTGAGATCGAGGCCAGCCTGGTCTACATAGTGAGTTCCAGGTCAGCTGGGGCTACAGAGAGACCCTGTCTGGGGCTGGAGAGATACCTCAGAGGTAGAGTGCTTGTCATAGTAATGCACCAAGCCCTAAATTCAGATCTCGAGCACCACAATAAATAAATTTTTAAAAATTAAATGCCAGGTGTGGTGGTGCATGCCTTTATTCCTAGCACTTGGAAGGTGGAGGAAGGATCAGGAGTTCAACACCAGTACGAGCTACAGGAGATACTTTCTCAAAAAATAAGTCGGGGGCTGGGGAAGAAAGGAAGGCTGGTGCTACTGAAGCTCAGTGAACTAGACCAAGGAGGGGCAGGAAAAATTGATCGGCTTTAAAAACAAACAAAAACCCAGGGACTCACTTTAAAGCTCAGCCTGCCTTTGAACTTGTCAAAGAATGGGCTATTAGTTGAGGGCTTAATAGGTGTATGTCAAAGTATTATTTTGAGACAGTCTCCCTTCACTGTAGCTCAGGCTCAGCCCAATGAATGCTGGGATCACTGGAGTGACCCAGTTTCCAAGTGTTTTTGTAAAATTATTTGCAAATACATAAAGGTTAAAAAAAAAAAAAAAAAGATGCTGGGCGTGGTGGGGCACGCCTTTGATCCCCGCACTCGGAAGGCAGAGGCAGGCGGATCTCTGAGTTCAAGGCCAGCCTGGTCTACATAGTGAGTTCCAGGACAGCTGGGGCTACAGAGAAACCCTGTCTCAAAAAGAACAACAACAACAAAAATCCCCACAAATAGTAACATTACGTGAAGATGAAAATAATTTGGAAATTCACTATTGCAATGTTTCTGTATTTAAAATCTTAGTGTTTGAATAAGTTATTTTAAAATGATTTTAAAATGTAGTAAGTAGCCGGGCGTGGCAGCGCACGCCTGCAATCCCAGCATTGGGAAGGCAGAGGCAGGCGGATCTCCGTGAGTACAAGGCCAGCTGGGGCTACAGGGAGATCCTGTCCCAAAAAGACCAAAAAAAAAATTTTATTAATTATTTTTATTTTATGTGTATGAGTGTTTTGCCTGCTGAAGAAAGGTTATGGTAGAATTCTAGATACGTTACTTGGACTAAACACGCCTGTAAAAACAGAAAGCAAATTCAAGAGATAGTCTACAGCTGTAAACTGCAAGACTTGCTAATACACACGATACAGTAAAAGCCGCAAAGCGGAAGAACCACTAACATACACAAAACAAAACAAAAAACACCGGAAGCCCAAGAAGCCCCACCCTTCCCTTCTGAGAGAAGGAAGTGAGGACAAGAACGGACAAGCTACCGGTACGCTTCCGGTCTCGTGTTCCGAAGAGGCTGTAAATCCCAGAACCTGGTTTGGTCCCGTCCTCAATGGGCGGGTCCCGGAAACACCTGACCAATGGTGAGAGATACCGCCTGCACTAGCCCAATGGTTCCCTGGCGGGTGGGGCCTGTGAATGGGGCCGGAGCCCTGAGTTCCGCCTTTCTGCCCACGTGGGGAGCTTCGCTGGGTCCTTCCCGGTAGCGCGATGGGGCCGGCCCCTGCGGGAGAGCAGCTGCGTGGAGCGGCTGGGGAGCCCGAGGTGAGGAGCCAGCTGGGTGTCTCGCCATGTGCCCCCGTGGCTGCCCAGCCCCAGATGGCCAGGCCTGACCACCAGCCTGCGAGGGACACCAGGGTGGCGCACTCTGGAGGGGCCGCGTTTTCACCCTTTCTCCAACTTAGGGCAGTGGAATAGATTTCTAAGGAAGCTAGCCCTGGCAAGATCTGAATAGAGCAAGAGCGGAGGTGTTTGAGAAATCCTGAGCCTCTCATCCGATTTGTGCTACCTGCAAGCACAAGGGACTTAGACACTGCTTAGAACAGTGACCAGTAAGCTTCCAACTCAGTCCAAGCAGAATTCCATGCAGTGGCTGTCCTGAGTTTCACACAGTCTGTCGCTCACTCAAGGCGGGAACCGGAGCAGGGGAAACCTTTACGCACAACCTTTAGGCAACAGGTGGTAACAGATACCCATGATCTCACGTTGACGTCTTCCTCTCTGGCCACAGGTGATAGAGCTTGCCCTGGACAGCACCGGCAAGAAGAAAACCTCCTCAAGAAAGCGTGCTAAAGCTGAGTGCCCAGCAGAAAGGCTCCTGCAGCCGGTAAAGCTCAGTCGGGCAGAACTGTACAAGGAGCCTACCAATGAGGAGCTGAATCGGCTCCGGGAGACCGAGATCCTCTTCCACTCCAGTTTACTTCGTTTACAGGTGCTGTTGGGTGGCCAGGGCATAGGTTAGAGGGCTTTGCTTAGGATCAGGAGACTGATAGATTCTAAACTTTCACTCTCTTACAGGTAGAGGAGCTACTAAAGGAAGTGAGGCTGTCAGAGAAGAAGAAGGATCGAATTGATGCCTTCCTAAGGGAGGTCCACCAGCGGATCCAGAGTGTGCCCTCCATCCCTGAGACAGAGGTCAGACATTTGGCCTTAGTAACTGGGGAAGCTGGGCCTGCAGGGGAGCATCTCAAATCAGCTTTATTTTTCTCTTGAGAGATTTGGGGTGCTAGAGAGTTCATTCTCATTGCAAGAAAACTCAATGGGAACAGTGCTGTTCATGTATCGGTCACACAACAAGCCCTTGCTTGCCTTGCACTAATTTTGCAGGGATTTTGTTTGTTTGAGATAGGGTCTTATGTAGCCTAGGCTGGCCTCAAACTTGTTATGTAATCCAGGCTGGCCTTGAACTCAGCCTCCCAAGTGCTGGGATAACAGGTCTGAACCACTTTTTTTGTGTGATAGGATCTCACTATGTAGTATTAGCTGTCTTGAAACTTGCAGTGTACATCAGGATGCCCTTGAGCTCACAGAGATCTGCCTGCCTTTGCCTCCTGAGTGCTGGGATTAAAGGTATTCTCTACCACTCCTGGCCTGTTTTTTTTTTTTTCTTAAACGTAGGATCTCACTCTAGCCCAGGCTGGTGTCAAACTGATGTCAGTTTTTCTGTGTCAATCTCCTGAGTTCTGGAATTGTACCACCACTTTTCACCTGAAAATGGATATTATTTATTGAGACAGCTTCTTGTATAGTCCAGGCTGGCCTTGATGTGTGTGCCACCATGCCCAGCCCAAAATCAAGGTGATTTGAATTTGAATGTTTTTGTCAAGTTCTCTTCATGAAAAATTTGTGGAAGATTGAGAATTCAGTTTACGTATTTGTATATATAATATACATATATATATATATATACACATATGTATAGTATGTATATGAGTGCATTGCCTGCGTGTGTGTAGGTACACCTTTGTCGTGCATTGCCCATGGAAGTCAGAAGAGGGCATTGGATCCCCTGGAACTTGAATTAAGATGGTTGTTAGCCGTCATGTGGGTGCTAGGAGCTGAACCTGGGTTCTCTGCAAGGGGTAGCCAGTGTTCTTAACCACTGAGTCATCTCTCCAGCCCTGAGAGTTCAGTTTTGAAGACACTGATATGCTAAGATGTCTACTAGACATCAAATGGCCATGTGAAGAAGTCAGTAGAATCAATATGTTTCTTGTCTCTGTACCTACAGCTCACTGACCAGTCATGGCTCCCAGCTGGGGTTCGAGTGCCCCTCCACCAAGTGCCCTATGCTGTGAAGGGCTCCTTCTGCTTCCTGCCTCCATCCCAGGTCACTGTTGTGGGCAGCTACCTTCTGGGTACTTGCATCCAACCAGATATCAATGTGGATGTGGCGCTGACCATACCCAGGGTAAAGTACCGGGTTTAGAGGCTACAGAGAGAGGCCCACCATTCTAAGCCCAGCCTAGGGGGGGACCCTTGGACCAGTTGCTGTTCGTTTGGGACTTTGTGCTCCTTGTCTGAAAATTAGATATGGTGGTGTTAGTCACTGTTTTGTCAGGAGAAAAGCATGGGACTCTAAACCTGGTTTCTTCTTAACCCTGAGCACCACCAGCCTTATGTGCCTGACCTCTCTTTTTCCCTGACTGCTCCAGGAAATCTTACAAGACAAGGATGGGCTGAACCAGCGCTACTTCCGCAAGCGAGCCCTTTACCTGGCTCACTTAGCTCACCACCTGGCCCAGGACCCTCTCTTTGGCAGTGTTCGCTTCTCTTATACCAATGGCTGCTACCTGAAACCCTTGCTGCTGCTGAGGCCACATGGTGGGAGTCACACACTGGGCAAGGGCACAGTACGGGATGACATATCTGGAGGGGGTGGCCAAAAGAATCTCAAGGTCCAGGGGAGTAGAAATAGAAGCCTCAAAGGCCAAGGTGAAGGCATGGTGCCCTCAGGTATGAGAGGAGTGGTACAGGGACCCCTCTGATTCCAGGAACTACAGTGTCTCAACACTCCTTGTCTCTACCCAGGGAAGGATGAGCGCCTGGTTACTGTATGTGTACATCCATGTCCTCCCCTGGACTTCTTCCGCCCTTGCCGCTTGCTGCCAACGAAGAACAATGTGCGCTCTGCCTGGTACCGAGGGCAGAGTCCTCCAGAGGATAGTAAGCAAGCACTTGTGTTGGACTGTGCTGCGAATGGGTTTGGTGGAGGCTTTTCTTCTCATGGTGTCTATTTTGTCCTCCACAGCTTGCCTAGAGCTCCCTACTCCCCACTACAACACATGGATCCTGCAGGATACAGCCCTTGAGTCTCATATGCAGCTTTTGTCAACTGTGTTGGGGTCTGCCCAGGGGCTGAAAGATGGTGTGGCCCTTCTGAAGGTTTGGCTGCGGCAGAGGGAACTGGATAAGGTGAGTTGGGGGTGGCCTAACCTCTCTGCCTCATTGTGTGATGGACTGGTTCTGAGCCCAGGTCTATCTCTGTCTCTCTTTCAGGGCCTAGGTGGGTTTAACGGGTTCCTTATCTCCATGATGGTCACCTTCCTCGTGTCCACACGCAAGATCCATACCACCATGAGTGGCTACCAGGTCCTGAGAAGCGTCTTGCAGTTTCTGGGTGAGGCATCTAGATTGGGAAAGGCCAAGTGTTCCACTTATCCCAGGAGTCCTCTCAGCTCCATCAGCATTCCTTCAGTTCCTTGCCATTAGCAAACTGAATCGTGGAGACAGGCAGTTGTAGCCACCCAGTGTGAGGGAAGGTATCAGGGCTGGGTCCCTACAGAGGGGTACCTTCTGACATATCCACCTTCTCTGGTTCACTTCAGCCACTACAGATCTGACAGTCAACGGAATCAGTCTATGTCCCAGCTCAGATCCCTCCTTGGTGAGTTAGGGGAGGGCAGGTCTGTGCCAACAGGCCTGAAGGTAAGGCCCAACCCTGACTGGCTTCTCTTTTCCCCCCCTCAGCCGTCTCTGGCTGACTTCCATCAGGTTTTCCCAGTTGTTTTCCTGGACTCTTCCGGTCGTCTCAACCTCTGTGCTGATGTCACTGCATCTACTTACCACCAGGTACCAACAGGCTGTACTCCTGCATCCCCCGGGTCCCCAAGCCTACTGTGCCAGTGTCAGAATCCCAGAAACTCCTTTCCAAAGAAGTAAAGGTGGACATGACCCCTTCAATTCATAAGGGGTATGGTTGTGGTTCCTCCTTACCCTGTGGCCCCAGGTGCAGCATGAGGCACAACTATCTATGGCGTTGCTGGACAGCAAAGCTGATGATGCTTTCCAGCTGCTGTTGATGACTCCCAAACCCATGGTCAGGGCTTTTGACCACATTGTGCAGTGAGTTTGGGGATGGTGGGATGTTGGGTGGGTTCTGTCACCCTTGAGCAAAGGGGAAAAGGTCTGTAGGGAAGAGTATTTGAGGATCTAGTGGATCTAACCGTCTGTTCTTCTGTGCCCTCCAGTCTCCGTCCACTAAGTCGCCTGCAGGCAGCATGTCACCGGCTAAAGCTCTGGCCAGAGCTGCAGGACAATGGTGGGGACTATGTCTCAGCAGCTTTGGGCCCACTAACCACCCTCCTGGAACAGGGTCTAGGGTCTCGGGTGCACTTGCTGGCTCACTCTCGGCCCCCAGTCCCAGAGGTGAGACCATGTAGATTGGGGAGTTTATAGGGAGCTGGGACAGGCTGAATCCAGGGTCTCAAGGGCACAAAGGACGTGCTGCCCAGCTGGCTAGTTACCAGCACAGGCTGGGGGATTCTTGAACTAAACTCAGTCTTTTTACATCCTGCAGTGGGACATTAACCAAGATCCACCGAAGCACAAAGACTCTGGAACCCTGACCCTGGGATTGCTCCTCCGGCCTGAGGGACTGACCAGTGTCCTGGAACTAGGTCCAGAGGCTGACCAGCCTGAGGTGTGGAACCCCAGCCTGTCCATGGGGAGGAGTGGGTGGATTATCCCCATGCTACCTGAATTGAGGCCTGTCATGGAAGTTTCCGATAGCCTTTTTTTTCCCCCCAGTGCTTAGAATTGAGTCCAGGGCCTTGGGTATGTTAGGCAAATTTTCTAGCACTGATACACCCCAGCTCAGTTTTTGCATTTTGATCTCTTCCACCATCCTTGTTTTTCCCCAGGCTGCTGACTTCCGCCAGTTTTGGGGATCCCGCTCAGAACTCAGACGTTTCCAGGATGGGGCCATTCGGGAAGCTGTAGTCTGGGAGGCAGGCTCTATGTCTGAGAAGCGCCTCATTCCTCACCAGGTGGTCAGTCACCTCTTGGCACTGTGAGTGTTAGCATCATAATGCCAGTGAACTGAAGGCCTTGCTGGATGGGCATGGCCCCTGATTCTCTCTCCCTGTGTCTGTATTCTTCAGTCACACAGATATCCCAGATACCTGTGTCCATTATGTTGGAGGCTTCCTGGATGCACTTATCCAAGGCCCCAAAGAGGTAAGGGCTGGGGTCAAAGCTAGTGATTGTAATGTGACAGTTTATAGAGTCCATATGGCAGGACTGGAGAGAACCCATATTACCTCAGCCAGGCTGCACTTTCTGGGGATGTCCAGCAGGGGGTGCGCTGGTTCTGCAATAGCTTGAGCTGGGCAGAATCCCAGTGATGGTGGGGTTTTGTAGGGCCCTGCCGCCTTCCTGACCCTTCTTCCCTTCAGTCCTCCAGCACAGGTGAGGAGGCCCTGGCAGTGGCTGTACGTTGCTATGATGACCTCAGTCGCCTGCTATGGGGGCTGGAGGGTCTCCCGCTCACTGTGTCTGCGGTTCAGGGAGCTCACCCAGTGCTGCGATACACTGAGGTAAGGGGTAAGGTGGCAGGGAGCTCTTTCTGGTTGGTGCCCCCCCACCCCCAATCTCTGTTCCAGTATTTTCACCTTCTACCTCCTGGCTCTGGGTGTTCTCTCTCTCTCTCTCTCTCTCTCTCTCTCTCTCTCTGTTCAAATTGCCTTCTTTAGCCTTACTTCTTTTACAGGTATTCCCTCCAGCCCCTGTCAGACCAGCCTACTCCTTCTACAGACACCTTCAGGAGCGGGCCTCACTGTTGCCCCGGCTGGATAAGCCCTGCCCAGCCTATGTGGAACCTATGACCAGTAAGAGGGCTCTTGGGAAGAAGTGGGAGAGGCAGTCCTGCCTCAGGCTGCAGTCTGAGACCTCTCATTCCTCTTATTCTCTAGTTGTTTGTCACCTGGAGGGCAGTGGGCAGTGGCCTCAGGATGCTGAGGCTGTGCGCCGGGTCCGAGCTGCCTTTCAGCTGCGCCTAGCAGAGGTGTTGACAACACAACATAAACTGCTGTGCCGTGCCACTGCCACACACACAGATGTCCTCAAGGTCAGCATGGTGCAAGGTGGGGAATCCCCAAGAAACAGGTTCCAAGGATGTCAGGGTGTGCAGAAGGATGCCCCTGTGGCCACTGAACTGGGGAGCAGGGGTATCGGTGGCACAGTACACCCAAGGTCTTGAGCTGATGTTCATTTCCTGTCCTATACACTCTTCCAACAGGATGGGTTTGTGTTCCGAATTCGAGTAGCCTACCAGCGGGAACCACAGATCCTGAAGGAGGTACGGAGCCCCGAGGGGATGATTTCCCTGAGGGACACACCTGCCTCCCTCCGCCTTGAAAAAGACACCAGGCTGTTGCCCCTGCTCACCAGTGCCTTGCATGGGTAAGTCTACCTGCATAGGCTCTTCCTAGCCCTAGGCCTTCTTCCTCCTCCCCACCCCCAGCTCCCTTCTGCTCTCCTTGGCTGCCTGGCTAGAGAGGCTAGTTGGCATAGTAGAGAATCAAGTATTGGAATCCTGGCCCTATCATTCACTGTGTCTCTTTGGGCAGGTTTTCCCCCTGTTGTTTTTCTCATCTATAAAATGGGAATATCACTACTAGAATATCAATATATATTATTCTATCTACAAAATGGAATAATAACAATTCCAGGGCACTTGTTAGGAGAATGTGAAGTAATACAGGTAGTACATTAGCACAGAGGCCAGTGCTGGGTAAGGGTTGAATACCAGTGACTGGGGCTGAGATGTTGTTCCTGGATTCTGAGTGCCTATGTCTCACTACCACTCCCTCCCTTCCAGACTCCAGCAACAGCACCCAGCCTTCTCTAGTGTGGCTCGCCTGGCCAAACGGTGGGTGCGTGCCCAGCTTCTGGGTGAGGGATTCACTGACGAAAGCCTGGATCTGGTGGTTGCTGCCCTCTTCCTGCACCCTGAGCCCTTCACCCCTCCCAGGTGATTCCTTCTACTTCTCCTAGCTAGGAAGTTACGTTACCTTCCATGCTGCAATCCTTAGTCCAAATGGGAGATGGTGCCTGAAGAAGTGACAAAGGGAGCTCTAAGACACCCTAGCCTCCCACAATCTACACTAAAGGATTCGGGCTCCCTAGATAGTGGGGGAAGCTTTTCAGGGGATGGGCCTCAGATTCATTCTCACTCCTTCTACTCAGCTCCCCTCAGGCTGGCTTCCTTCGGTTCCTTTATCTAGTGTCTACCTTTGATTGGAAGAACAACCCTCTCATCGTCAATCTCAACAATGAGCTGACTGGTAAGTGGGAGGACTCAGGTGAGACCACACGAAGAACTCCCATGTATAAGTGGCACAGTAAGACAGTGTTTTCCTGTAAATCTATTCAGAAAGCTTCCCTCATCCTATATGCCTAAGTATGTCTTATCTTGGAAGAGAATTATCAGGAGTGGACCAGATCAACCCTGGTTTAAAAAGCTTTGCTCATATGGTGGTCAGTGACAGAAAGGACTGAGGTGGTAAACTGGCCTCCCAGGGGGTTGTGGAGGGAGAGGCTTCTTGAATACCAGGTGAAAGGTCTTCTGTGAGGAGCCAGGAAGTGCCCACACCTCTTGGGGGTGGGATTGGTAATTTCCCATTGTAATTTTAGGAGCTCTGGGTCTCAGCAGAGAGCAGGGTGTCAGGTTCCTAATTCTCCAGGTGTGTAGGAGCCCAAGATGAAGGGGTTGTGGAGCAAGCCTCAGCTTGTGTAGGCCAGAGACTAGACTGGGGGTGCCAAGCAATGGAAAATTCTGCCTCTGTACTGAAACTGGAAGATTAACACTCCACCCCATTAAGACAAATGTGGTGTCCCTTTTGTTACCTTTGTCCCTCGGGGGAAAGGGTATTGGAAAATCTCTGTGGTTGGCAGTTGCTGGGTACACAGTAGAAGGACCTGGGATAGCAAAGGGTCTTTTGGGGAGGGATAGGCTAACCCAGCCTCTCTGGTCTCTAGCTGAGGAGCTGGTGGAGATTCGCAGTGGCTTCCTGGCAGCTAGGACACAGCTCCCAGTCATGGTCATCATCACTCCCCAGGATTGCAAAAGCTCTGTATGGACCCAGGATGGACCCTCAGCCCAGGTTCAACCCTATTCCTGTCCCTAAATTTGAATTTTCTACCCCAAGAAGTAAACTGGCCCAGCTTAAGCTGGGAGATGCATGGTCAATCCTAGTTTGATGTTTCTGTGTCCCAGATCCTTCAGCAGCTTGTGGTCCTGGCAGCTGAGGCCCTCCCTATTCTAGAGAAACAGTTGATGGATCCCCGGGGGCCTGGGGACATCAGGGTAAGCTTCTGACACACAGCGACTCCTGGGTGCTCTGGGGATTCTCTTTGAATCTCAGAAGTCCAGAATTCACAGGGCCTTCACGGGATGATGCCCAGTTGGCTTGTTTGGTAAGACTGAATATAGAGAGGCTTTGAAGCCACTGTGGCGCCTGGCAATGGCAGAACCTGGAGAGCTCCTGGGCATCCTTCCACCCTCTCCTGGACTCTGGCTGGGCCTGGCTGCTTTCCTTTGTGGAGTCTGGAGTTTTCACCCTTAGATGGGCATATAAGTGTGAGGCATGGGAAGGAGGCATGTGGAAAGGAAACTCAAGGGACCCTGCTGACCCCTCTCTGCCTGCACTTTAGACAGTGTTCCGACCGTCATTCGACATGTATGATGTGCTGATCCGCCTGACTCCGCGCCACATTCCCAGGCACCGCCAGGCTGTGGATCTTCCAGCTGCTTCCTTCTGCCGTGGCTTGCTCAGTGAGCCAGGGCCTTCATCTCTGATGCCTGTGCTAGGCTATGATCCCCCTCAGCTCTATCTGGCACAGCTCAGGGTAGGTCCTAAAGGATTGACTAACCTGGGAAGGGAACTTCTATGAAGTTGGGACCATGGAGGAGATTCTCAGGTGCCTGCCTGCAATCTTGTATTCTGTCTTTCCTAGGAGGCCTTTGGGGATCTGGCTCTTTTCTTTTATGACCAGCATGGTGGAGAGGTGATCGGTGTCCTCTGGAAGCCCACCAGCTTCCAGCCACAGCCCTTCAAGGTTAGTGACAGTTATGTGTTGCTGAGAGTGTACATGTGGTTCTCTGCAGATATGCATTTCTGTGTAGTCTCCTCCATGAATGATCCTAGGTCAAGTGTGTTAGGTATGTGGGCTCATATCTACATATCTCATATCTATACCATCCCCCAACCTGGCATCTCAGGGTGTGCCTTCATGACCCTTAAACCCACACTTCTTTTCTGCTTCCCTCAGGCCTCCAACATAAAGGGACGCATGGTGGTATCTCAAGGTGGGGAACTTGTGATGGTACCCAATGTAGAGGCAATCCTGGAGGAGTTTACAGTGTTGGGTGAAGGCCTGGTACAGGCTGTAGAGGCCCGAAGTGAGAGGTGGACCGTGTGAACCCAGCTTTGGGGCAAACGAAAGATGGACAACAGAACTTTGGACCTCCAGAGCAGCATGCAAATGGGATGGCCACCCTCATTGCATATGGACACCTTCTGTTCTCAACACTGAGTCATCCCCCAGTGAAGACCCTGCCAGATTTCTCTGATGCTTCAGCACTGGGGCAGGGCCTATGGTGTCCTATGTAGTCCCCTAGGCATGACCACCTGAATTCCTGGAGGAGAAGGAGCAAGCTCAGCTCTGAGTGGGTCTGAACTTTTTCTTTCTATTTTTTCCCCCTCCCAGTTTCAGCTTCTTTCTGAAGCAGTTGGAGAGGGGGAGTGTGCCTGGTGTGGTGGCTGGGGCTCCCACTGGCATGTTGGGGCCCAGATCTCAGTGTGCCTTTCACTGTTGCCACTTCAGGCTTTTAGATAGGACCCCAGAGAAGGTGTGGCCCTTCCTGAGGGTCACAGTGCCAGCACCAAGTAAGGGCTGTATGAACAGACCCCACTGAAGGGGCTCAATGCCCTCCTGTGTTAGTGCTACTGCCCCCCAGGGTGGTGACAGTGGAAAAGGACACAGGACAGGAAGGGGCTGGGTGGATGGAGTCAGAGAGCCTGGCCTGGTAGTCCACTAGTCCAGGAGAGATGCAGAAAGCCCTGGGTGCTACCACCCAGCCTCTCAGTGTGAGTCCTGCCTGCTCTGTGCCTGTTCTTGTCACTGATCACTACAGGAGCGCTACACCCCTGTTCTCCAGGAGCTGCCTCTCAGCCTGATCCACACCCCCTTTCTGGCAGCTGCTCCCTGCGCTTCTCCCCTAATCCTAGCTGGTTTTTTAGACTCAGCTCAAATAGTGCCCCTCCTAGTCCCTGCCCTCACCCCCACCCTAAGGTGTTCTTTCCCTCCTGTGAACTGTGAAAGCAATTACTCCTGTTGAGTTCACTTGGCAGGCAGGCATACCAGTGTGTACCTCCTATTGTCCTTAACTCTGATTTAAAATTAAATTGCTTAATTCCATCCCTGTACCTGGCTTGTCTTTTTTCATGGTTTCAACTTGATCTGTGAGAAAGCTCCATAAAGACAGCATGCTGAGTATGGGTGACTCATGTTCCTCGGAGCACCTAGAAGGGGGCTCTGCTGGGTTGGAAGGTAGATGTGTGTAGAAGGAGCATCCAACCCAAGCAGGTGGAGTCCTGGGGGCATAGCCAGAAGGCCACAAGGAAATGGGAATCACAACCTGTAAACTATGCCTAATAGTGACAAAAGTCTGAGCTGCTGTACAAGGCATGTAATCCCAGTACTCAGGAAGCTGAGGTAGGAGGGTTGCTGCAAGTTGGAGGCCAGCCTGGGCTATAGAGTAAGGCCCTCTCAAAAAAGCAAAAACAAGCCAGTCATGGTCACTCACACCTTCAATCCCAGCACTTGGAAGACAGAGGCAGGTGGATCTCTGTGAGATGGAGGCCAGCCTGGTCTACAGAGTTCCAGGCCAGCTGGGGCTACACAGTGACCCTATTTCAAAAAAAGAAAAAAAGGGGTTAGAGAGATGGCTCAGCAGTTAAGAGCACTGACTGCTTCTTGTAGAGGACCTGGGTTTGAGTCCTCTATGTGGATGTTCCACATGGTGACTGACAAGAGTTTGTAACTCCAGTTCCAGGATATCCAATGCCCTCTTCTGACCTCCATAGGGACTGCACAACATGGGTGCACTACAGGCATGCGCCACCATTCCCGGCTTTAAAACACTAAAAAAAAAAAAAAAATCCGGGCGTGGTGGCACACGCTTTATGGAGGCAGAGGCAGGTGGATCTCTCTGAGTTCCAAGCCAGCCTGGTCTACATGGGGAGATCCAGGCCAGCTGGGGCTACTGGGAGACATCAAAAAGACAAAAAAAAAAAAAAAAAAAAAAGAGGATCTCTCTGAGTTCCAAGCCAGCTTGGTCTACATGGGGAGATCCAGGCCAGCTGGGGCTACAGGGAGACATCAAAAAGACAAAAACAACAAAAAAAAAGCGGCTGGAAAGATGGATGGCTCATAGCAGCCAATAGCAATTTGTAACTCCAGTTCCAGGGGATCCAAGACCCTTTTCTGGCCTCTTCAGGCATTGCATGCATGTGGTGTACTTAAATGCAGGCAAAACTGATACACAGAAAAAATAAAAATAATTTTTTCAAACAAGCTGGATGTGGTGGCCCATGCCTTTAACCCCAGCACTCGGGAGGCAAAGGCAGGTGGATCTCTGTGAGTTCAGGGCCAGCCTGGTCCACATAGTTCCAGGCCAGATGCGGCTATAGGGAGACCCAGTCTCAAAAAAAAAAAAAAAGACCAAAAACAAATGTCTTAGTTTGTTCTTCATTGCTGTGACAAAATACACTGACCAATACCAACTTGGGGAGGAAAGGGTTTATTTGTCTTACATCTCCCAGGTTGCATGCAGTTCATCAGGGAGCCCAAGGTAGGAACTCAGGGCAGGAACCTGGAGGCAGGAGCTGGAGCACAGGCCATGGAGGAACGCTGCTTACTGGCTTGCTCCCCCGGCCCCTGCTCAGCCTGCTTTCTTATGCAACACAGGCCCACCTGCCCAGGGGTGGCACCACCCACAGTGGGCTGGGCCCTCCCACATCACTCATCAAGAAGATGCCCTTCAGACATGGCCACAGGCCAGTCCAATAGAGGCAATTTCCCGATTGAGGCTCCCTCAACACAGGTGTGTCAAGTTGACACTAAAGCTATCCAGCACAAAAAACAAAACAAAAAACCTTAAAAAAAAAAAAAAAGCTGTAATAAATCTCTATGCTAGCTTAAAAATCTAACTTAAAAAAAGCCTGAGGGCTGGCAGGATTGCTTGTCAGGTAGACGTGTCTGCTGCCAAGCCTAACAACCTAACAACCTGAGTTCAGTCCCTGGGATTCCCATTGTTAGAGGAGAGAAATTACTCTGGCAAGTTGTCTTCTGACTGCCACAAGAACATCGTTTCGTGTGTACCCACAAATACAAATAAATGTAAATAAGAGCTTGAGATGGGGCTGGAAACATGGCTCAGCAATTTAGAGCACTTGAGATAAACAGTTGATTTATTGAGTAATAGATACTACGCTGTGTGTTAGCTTTTTTTTTTGTCTTTTGAGACAGGGTCTCATAATCCAGCTGGACTTGAACTCACTGTGTAGCTGAGTCTGGCCATGAGCTCCTAAGTCTCCTGCCTCTACCTCCCAAGTGCTGGAATTAGGGGCATGTGCCATTGTGTATGGCTTGGCTTCCATATTTTATGTATGTAAATTTGGTTATATAACCATAACAGGAGGTACTTTTAGCTCCTTTTTGAATGAAAGATCAGGCTAAGCTCTTGGAGCAGTTGCACAGGAACTTGCATGTCTAACCAGCATCAAGATCCATGTAGAAACTCCAGTCTCTAATTTTGTTTCTGTGGACTTCATCCTGCCCCTACTGTCATAACACTGTTCAGCCCAGGTTGAAATTAGCACAGGGGATTAAATTGCTTGGAGTCTACATCTGTGTTTAGAATTCATTTGTGAACAAGCAGCAATGTGCTATTACCCCTTTTGTTACAGAGTCCTATGGCCCATGGTCCTTGGTCACCCTTGGCTCTTCTCTGCCTCTCTTGCCTTTGGTTTCTTCGTCTATTTCTACCTAAGTACCTCTGTGGGCTCTTGGGAAGGCAGGGGTTTCTGGCCAGTTTCAAACCATTCTGTTTCATCCCAGGGCAGCTGCACACCCTTTTACAAACCTAGCTCTGCATAGTCCTGATAGAAGAAGGGGTAGAGAATCTGCCCCAGAGGCAGGTCTATAGCAGGTGACCCTAAAACATGCAGTAACAGCCAGGGGATGTGCTCACTCTCTGTAGAATGGGTACAATAATGGTGTGTGCCCAATTAGCAAAGGAAGAGGTCTGAGATCTCAGAAACCCAAGGAGCCAAACCATTACTTCCTATGCACTGTTTCTGGCTGCGTCATGGCAGGAAACCCAGGCTTTAATAACTCCTTCATGAGGTAGCTCCAACCTATTTTCCTCAAATTTTTTCTGGGAGGTAGGTGAGGAGGGAGATGACTCTGCCCTGGCTCCTTACTACAGCCAGTATGAGGCTTGCCTGGCCATTCATGTCCCAGCCCACTGAGGTACTCAGGCTTTGGCTGAAGACTAGGGGCCGAAGCTGGAACCTAGGAAAGGGGAGGGGAGGGGAGATGGGAAGGAAGCCTTGTTTAGGTGTGCTGAGAATGATGTCGAGGGTACATCCCCACTGGGGGTGCCTGCCTCTGCACGCTCTTCGCAGATGAGAATAGATGGTGTGAGAGTCTGATATGTGGCATCATCTGTGTTGTGTGTGTGCTACACGTGCACACAGCTGTATGCACTAGTCTATGTAGGGTTGTTTTGTCTCCAGCTCTGTTTGGTGCAAAGAAGGAAGTTGTTTTTGGAGAGGAGATCAGGAGGAAAAAAAGCTATCAATCCTACATTCCTTCCTATGGCTTTAAGTAAAGCTCTCCTTCAGGAAGGGGATGTTCCAGTTTCCAAAGTTCTGACTAATCCTCATTCACTTTAGTGAACTTTGAAAGGACCCTCCTTTTTGGCAGTGTTATTGTCCACCACCCCCTCAATCAGAATCTTTTAAGCTGAAGACCCCATTTTCCTCTACACAGCTCTTTGGAAAAGAGCAAGCTCCAACCCCCTCCAAACCTAGGGCTTCATGCATCAAATTACATTCACTCAATGAAGTCCTCAGTACTGGTCAGTCCCTCACCTGTTAAGTCAGATTTGGGATAACTAGCCTCTTTCCACTATATCTGTCACCCCACCTCTCACCCTCCAGCATCCTGTGCTTTGTGAGTCACAGATTAATCCAGGTGAGTGATAAGGGAGAGGGGAAGCTTGGGGCACGTGAGTCACCCTTACCTTTCACAGGAAAGGTCATTCTGCCCATCCCCCTGCTGCAGAAAGGGAGGATCTCCTCAGCTTGCCCTAGGGAACTAAGTGGAACCAAGAAGAGAGGTGTTCCAGAGGGAGACTTCCTCTTGCTCCTTACCTTCTGAGAGGTGGGTGGGGAGCATAGTTTTTCTGGTTTATATAGGTTCAGTCGTGCAGGAACTTGTCCAAGGAAACATAGGGAGTTGGGGGTAAAGCTACAGAGGCATACTGTCAGTTGCTGAACCTGCCCTTGTGGGGCCATGGGGTAAGAGAAGGTGAGCTGAGATGAAGAGGAATAAAGGAGAGAGAGCAGTGTGAGCTGCAGGGCTGTCCAGTAGGGCAAGAAGAAGGAAACACCTGGCCCGTTCTGCCATTCTGGTCTGGTCTGCTAGCCTTCCCCTGTTAGATTTAGGAGAGCAGAAAAAGGAAGGAATTTAAAGTTAAGAAACAAGAACCAGAGCCACATCTGCAACAGGCAAGGAATATGTCATCTTTAATTCAGGAGAACACAGCAAAGTGTCAATGTCTTGTCCATGGATGCAGACATCAGTAAATATAAGCAGAGCAATCTGGATTTATATAGGGACTCTGCTGAACGGAGCTGTAGGAATTTTCTTGGTGTCAGGTGTCAGTGTCTTTGGGGTACCTGAGGGTCTCTTTCCTGAGGATATTTTCTTAGGCTGAGCAGGCACCCTGTTGGCACAGCAAGTTGACTCTGCAGTCTCTGTAGTGATCAGTTGATAAGGCCAGGCCACCAGAGCAGGCTATGGCACAGCAGGAGTTAAAATTACCCCTGTAACCAGCCAGAGAAGTGACCAGTTGATAAGGCCTGACCAAAGGCCAAGCCACCATCTTGGGCCATTTGGCCACCTAAAGGAATTTATGTAAGGAAGCTTATGACTCTCTTGCAATTTATACATTCTATCATCAGCTCTACCTCTTCTCAAGGCACTTAAATGCAGCTGTTATAGGTCAGACTTAGGAGCAGGCCAAGGGCAAGGAGTAGGGGTTGGGAATATGAACATTCAAGTCCATTTCAACTCAAGCCTAAACCTCTGCCCTTCAAAAGCAAGACCTAGTTCTCCTTTATAAGACTAGAAACCT